CACACACACACACACACACACACATGCACACATACACACGCACACACACACTCTGCCCTGGGAGTCCCCACAGGTCCCCTTGGAGGTAAGAAGGGATCCAGCTCTGAGCAAGAGCCAAGAGCCCCCAGGCCCCAAGGTGACAGAGGGTGGAGCACAAGCATGTCCCACCTGCTGTCTGGGACCCCATCTAATCCCTGTGCGTCCCCTGGGAGGAATTGTGCCCTCGCCTCATTCCACTGGACCAGGAGGCTCTTTGGAGGGGCCATGGTGATGCCACCTCCCGATCAGGTGCTGCTTCTCCAGCAAAGAGAGGAGGACTGCTCCTGGGAGCTGGCATGGTGCCTGGCACAGCCAGTGTGCCAGCTGCCTCCACCTGCCACACCTCGGGTGTGCCCACCCCCTCTATCATTCCGCAGCAGGTAGCTTCTGCCAGCCTCTTCCTCGTCACTCCGCCAGTGCTCCTTGCGTTGCTGTGACCTGCTCTGCTCAGAGCCAGGAAGCCTGCAGGATGGGGTGCAGGGAACAGCCCTAACACCAGAGCCTTTTCTTCCCAAGAGAAAGTAGGATCAGAGGTGCCACAGGAGAAAGTGCTCAGGAAGAGGAAACGGTCTAGGTGGGGGGCACAGGGGAGCCCAGGAGCCTGAAGGGGAGGCACAGAGGGTGGATGGCCTGTCAGGGAGATGTGGAAGTCACAGCTTGGCCCCCCCACTTGGCACCATAGTGTACCTCAAATTCTCCTCAAGAAAATTCCACCAGGTGTGGTGGTGCAGAGCTGTAATCCCAGCACTTGGGAGGCTGAGGCGGGAGGATTGCCCCTGAGTTCAAGGTCAGCCAGGGCTTCACAGTGAGTTTCACGTCAGCCTGGACTTCGTGGTGAGACCTGTCTCAAAAAACCAACCAACGGGCTGGGAGATGGCTCAGTGGAATAAGCGCTTCCCTGGCAAGGGCAAGGGCCTGAGTTCAATCTCCAGTTTCCCCCTCTAAAAAAACCCAACAAACAAAAAAGTTTCTCTTTGGTTGGTCATGGTGCTGCTCCTCCATAATCTCAGCACTCAGGAGGCTGAGGCAGGATTGCTGGGAGTTCAAGGCCACCTTGGGCTACCTAAGGAGTTCAAGGCCATCCTGGAGTACATAGTGAGCCCTCGTCTCAAACAAACCAAAAAAAAAAAGTCCCTGCTTGCCTGCTCCACAAGGGTAGCGAAAGACCCTGCAGGTCTGGGCCCATCTTATTCTGGGAACAGTGATGAGCGTAGGGATGTGTTGGCCCCACATTCCTCGCCTCCAGCTCGGACTCCCAGAGCACAGGAGAGGAGTAGGTGGCAGTAAATTTCAAAAGACCCTGATTCCCTGGGGTCCCCCTTACTGTGATTAATGAATAAAGATGCCCTCGTTAGCACACCACACTGCTTTCTAAAGAATGGGGAGAGAAAGAAGTGGGGCTCGACCCCCTGCAGGGAGCAGCCCAGCCAGCCTGGCCACTTCACTATGTCCCTACCTCCGAGGAGGAGTCCTCTTCCCACCAGGCTGGTGGGTGTTGGGCGTCCTCCATTGAGCTGGGGCCCCCTCAGGGCAGGGCAGAGGCTGTCAAACTACAGCAGTGTCCCTTGAGACTTGGGAGAGGGTACTGCCCCCACAAATTTCTGGCTCAATACTGTTTTTAATCTTATTTATTGGGGCCAGGGAAATGGCTCAGTAGAATAAGCGCTTGTGGCAAGCACAAGGGCCTGAGTTCAATCCTTGGTTCCTCAAAAAAAAAAAAAAAAAAAAAATCTTATTTATTTATTTATTTATTTATTTGGTACTGGGTCTTGCTATGAAGCTCAGACTCGTAGTGATCCTCCTGTCTCAGCCTCCCTAGCTATGAGATTACAGGCACGCGCCATCATGCCTGGTTTTGGTGGCCAGCTCAGCACAGGCCGGCCCAGCATGCGGTATCCAGGATCGAGCCTGAGTCCTTGTGCTTGCCAGGTAGGCCCTGCTGAGCTATCTCCCCGGCCCCTGACTCAATAAATTTGAGGAGGGACCCGAGAATCTGAATTTCTAGCACGTTCCCAATGTTCCTGCTGGCCAGGGCCACGCAGCGGGAGCCGTGGCGGGCCTTGTCCTTGCTGCCCCCGCCAGGACCTTTGGGGCCACGGAAAAGGCACCCGCTTGTGTTCTCCCCACACCCTGGCCAAGTGCACTGTGGCCACTACGAACACCCAGAGCAGCATCCCCGTCATGATCTTGCCCTCAGGAGGTCCTGAAGCTGGCCCCATCATCCTCTGCCTATGCTAGGAGGGTCCCTTCCCAGGGCACAGGCAGGACACTAATAGAGGAAAGCTTGCTGTCCCCTAGGATGACCTCCTGGGGCCTAGGGGAGAGGCCTGAAGTCCATCCACATGCGCTGGCTGGCACCCCCTTCCCTCCCATGCTGTGCCCCAGGCAGAACTGCCTTGGGCTGGGCCAGGTGGTGCACTTGTAGCGCCAGCTGCTCAGGAGGCTGAGACAGGACGATCCCTGAAGCCCAGGAGTGCAAGGTCAGCCTAAGCCACATACTAAGACCCTGACTAAAAGGAAGACCAGTTTTAAAAAATTTAAGAAGATAATACAGAAAATCAATATTTTAAAATCAAGGTCAGGTGTAGTGACACGTGCCTGTAATCACAGCATTAGGAAGCCGAGGCAGGAGGATCACCGTGAATTGAAGGCCAGCCTGAACTACACAACAACACCCTGTCTCAAAAAAAAAAAAAAAAACAAAAAACAAAAAACAAAGAAACCCAAGCATAAGGACTGGGTTAGATCCCCCACACCACGTGCTAAGCAGGCCCTGCCCCAGGACGTGCTGAGCCAGCCACCGAGACCAGGCATGGTGGTGCACCCCTGTAATCCCAGTGCTGGGAAGGCTGAAAGCACATCACTATGAGTCCGAGCTGTACCAAATACATTCAAACAATAAATAAAATAAAAATAAAATTTGAGCCAGGGAGATGGCTCAGTGGAATAAGTGCTTCCTTGGCAAGCTCAAGGGTCTGAGTTCAATCCCTGGTTCCGGGAAAAAAAAAAAAAAAATTTAAAAAAGAGATACAGAAGAGAGGACCAAGCTTTCCAGATGTGGTGGCACACAACTGTAATCCGAGAACTCTAGGAGGCTGAGGCAGGAAGATTGCAAATACAGCCAGAGGAGGTTGATGACTTAGGAAGAACCTGCCTTCAAATAGAAACTTCCAGGGGACAACCTGCTCCGGGCCCCCCTCCTGTCCCTCTCTCGGACAGGAACTTTCTTTCCCTCAATAAATATATTCTGCTCATTAAAAAAAAAAGAGGGGCCGGGGAGATGGCTCAGTAGAATAAGCGCTTCCTTGGCAAGCGCAAGGGCCTGAATTCAATCCCCAGTTCCTCAAAAAAAAAAAAAAAAGAAAGAAAGAAAAGGGGGCCGGGGAGATGGCTCAGTGGAATAAGCGTTTCCCTGGCAAGCGCAAGGGCCTGAATTCAATCCCCGGTTCTGCTGAAATAAATAAATAAATATAAAATTCCTAAGAAAAAGAAAGAAAGAAACTTCCAGGGTTGTAACTCAGAGTGAGTGGCCCTGGGTTCAACCCCGAGTAGCCACCACAAAAAAAGGTCAAATGTTTCTTTTTATCATTATTATTATTTTTTTTTTTTTTTCAGAACCAGGGATTGAACTCAGGCCCTTG